CACTTAAATGCCACTCCGATGAATATGAAGAAGATTGCGCAAGTGGAGGTTTGCATCTGCGCATATGCATGCATACATATGTACAATACATACATATACTCGTATACTCATGCATATTTCGTTTTATGAACTGTAGCACAGCGCCGAAATTATGAATCGTTGGTTCCCATGTACATACATACATACATACATACATATATTTATATATTTTGGCTAATAAAACAATAATGCCAGCAATAAAATTGTAATTAATTAATTCAACAAGACATTGCGGCACGCCGCAGCCACTGCCGACATTGAGGGGGGGCGGACAAACCAGTGAGCAATATGAGCCGACAGACGAATACAGGAGACATTGCCTAATTAGTGATTCAGGTGGGTGTTTGCATTTTTCGGTTTTCAACAGTATTCAACAACGCTGAGGGTGCATTTGGCAGCCAGCACGTTCTGGGACGGGGTTGACAAAGGGGTCTAATACATGCATACATACATACATACATAACAGAAGCAACGACGGTGCTGTTAGCGTATTCAAAGAGTCTTTCATGAATGCATACACATCGATCGATGATCGGTGATCGCGCTTTAGACAAGATTTTGAGCGTGTTTTCGGCGTATCGCAGTGGCAATGAGACAACTGCGCAGAAGTACATAGCCACTGTAGTCATTGCAGTCAGCGCGGAACAGGTAAATTGATTGCTATGCAGTCAGAACGTAGAACCGATCGGTAATCAATGAACTATGGGAATGCATCAACCTATGAACGTGTATCAGCGTTTGGGCTCATCAGTCAATGCAGCTGTCAGTGGCTCCGGCAGTGTTGTCTTTTTTGCAAAACCGTTTATCACCAAACATGATCGCCAACAAGTTGCAATAAACTCTTTTTATTATAAGATTTTCAAAATATTTACTTTAGGTAAGTACATACGAGTATGTAGGCACGCAGATATACATCCATATGTATTTATTTAATGTTCCTGTATTCAGTCATTCTTTTGAAAATATGCAACAAATACATACATATGTATGTATGTCTACATGTTTGCCGTTTCACTAAATATTTCGCAAACAATTTGCATATGGCAATCGCCCAACCACCATCGTCTGACATTTCAACATTAATGAGTTGTAATAATGTCTTAATGCGGCTCATCGCTTTCAAGTCGAAAATGTTTATTCCCTGTAATCGATAATCGATAGTTTAATGCTATTTTAAATGCGAGACGAGTGCAATAATACTTGAGACTCTTGGGAATAATGTCGCGAATTATGAATGCTCGTGCATATATATGTAAATACAAACATACATATGCACATATGTATAAATATTTTTTTAATAAATGCCAATTAATGCAGCAATTTGTATTTTTTAATTGATTTGGAAAGCTGAGGACTTGGTTGTACATTGTATTTTACATACATACATACATACATACATACATACATACGGATACAAGTAAATATTAAATCAAACAGGGAAAAAAAGAGCGCGAGCACGAGATGTGTGTGGTATGGGTTGGAAAAGAAAATGTTTGTAATATTTGCGAAGCTTTTCCTATTGGCCTGTAGATGGTTAGTTTATCGAAAGGCGTGAAATACCTGTTTTGAAGCGATTTTCTTGCTCAGCACCACCCCCAAAAAATGGGTGGACCTACAATTAATTCTAAGCCGCCTCCAAACGGCTGATAAAGTTTTATGAGGAGCCTTTTATTTTATGTCAGAAATACATTTCCGGCCAAGGGGTGACCGTAATTAAACAAATTAAATGAGTTTTTTATTTGAAATAGTTTTCTATAATTTTTGGCTGTTGAATCAGAACTCGAACTCACGGCCTTTCACAGGGTTGTACGCACTGCTAACTACACAGCTACTGTTTATTTACTTCCTTTACTAGTGTAGGTACCACTTACGCTGTTTGTAGATACCAAGTACAGCCAAGTCTTTCTCTACCTGGTCTTTCTAACGGAGTGGTGGTTCCAGCTCCCTCTGCTTCCACCGGCATCGAAAGCTTTCAAAGTTGGAGTGTTCTTATCCATCCGGACCACATGTCCCAGCCGTGTGTAGCCGCTGTTTCTCGTACAGCTCATCATTCAATTGGCTGCGGTATTCGCCGTTCTCAACACGTAGAGGACCATAAATCTTTTGCAAAACCTTACTCTCGAAAACTACTGATGCCGACAAATCAGCTATTGTTCACCACTCTGCCTTTAACCTCGTTTGGTATCGAGCGGCGCAGAGAGGTCCTTCCCGATCCTCATGGGTCTTGCACTGTTGCTTAAGGTCAGTTTACATAGCCGTATAAGTTTTGCGAGGAGACTAAATTTAGACTTAGCTGTGTAGAGGCAACTTCCTTTCGTACTGTCGAAGGCTCCCTAAAATCGGGTGTTGTGTGTTGGTTCTATTTTCACGGGTCTTTTCCAAGATTTGGTGCATGGATCTTTCATACAACATGCTCCAAAGGACCTTATATGCGATATTAGGGATGCTCAGACTGTGGAATCCACTTTTTTAAGGATTAAGCAGATCGGACATGCGGCCGACATAAAATCCGGGTTAACTCCGGTGTGTAGGGCCGACTGTCCTTCTGGCCCAACTATGGTCCGCTTATTATTCGCCGCACGACACTTTCCAAAAGCAGGCTGTCCAACTCACAACTTTGCGCTCGACCACAACACGTGCGGGTTCTGATAGATAACATGAGCCGAAGAGGAAAACAAGATGTATTTACAGCATCTCATAAATTTCATGAAAAGATGCTGCGACTCACCAATCTGGTAATCTGGTGGCCGATGTCCTAAGCATACTTGGTATATAGCGATTTCACTTCTCCAGCCTACTGAATGGCAGTAAAAGTGCAACACCGGGAGATAGTGAACCCAAAACCCCAATCGGCCAAGATGAAGCAGGCGATCCAATGCACGAACAGCTATTGTCGTTAAAGAACAACTAAAGCGGGCGGCCAATGGTTTACCAGAGTTATTCAGTCATGCATCAGATTCTCTGCAGAATAGGGTCCGAGGAAACCATGCCCTTGGTTAGAACCAGGGTGTACTCCACCTAATCCATAAAAATGCGGGGATCCCACAGTCTGCGCCAGTTGCCATGGGATATAAAAGTTCTTATCTAGCGTATTATATGAAAGACCAAATCGCAATAGGGGGACCAAATATAGGCCCACCCAGCGGATTTGCTTATTTTATAAACTGTCAAGTGTCTAGCATTGTGTACTGCCATTCGGAAGGCCAAGAGTACGAGTTCTGGTCCAACCAACATCCAAAATTAATTTCAGGCTCAGAACGATCGGCTAAAATGGAGACGAGAAAACGCAAGATAGTGAAGGATAGGTCAGACGAAAATTATAATAATACAATGGCAATGGAACGATTACTCCGTCTGTAAAGACTGTTTCTAAATGGTGCCCAAGATTCCAGATCGGACCCTTTACCGTAGAGAACGAGTCCTGAGAAGGTCGACCGAAATCTTCCTCTAATGACGTCACTGTAGTTCCCGATTTACACAAGAAATGATTCCTAATGCATTGGGCTTAAATACCACGACTGCATCGCGAATATTAAGTACTCATTTGGGAAACACGAAGAAATCTGTTCGATGGGTACCACAAATTTTAAATGAGGCCCAAAAAGAGGCTCGAGTATATTTTGTGCTATTTTCCCGAAACAAATACGGAAATGGTCAGTCTAGAAACTTTAGTAAAGTCGCTACTAGTGACGAATCTTGGTTCCATGAGTATGATCCAGAAACCAAACAGCTGTCCATGGTATGGAGCCCAACAGGAGCAAACCCGCCCGTAAAATCTAAGCAACAGAAATCAGCAGAAAAAGTATTAATGTCAGTTCACATCACCCTATCTTTAATCGTAGCTGCTGATCCACGGGTCAGACGGTAACTGAAAATGGTACACCGAAGAGAGCTTACCAAAAGTTTTCAAAAAGAAGAAAGAGGATTTGCGGCACTACTTTTTACATCAACGTGCCATCCCACACTGCTGAAGTAACGAATAATTTTTTTCCGATCTTTGGGATGAAAGAAATACGTCCAGCACCATATTCCCCGGAACACTTTGTTGTTCTGGTTATTTGAAAAATTTAAAAGTAAAAGTCTTTAATATCAACGAAGAGGTAATTACTGCGGTTAATAGTGAACTTGATAAGCTTAAAAAGCAAGATTTTGAAGACTATTTTCAGAAGTGGATCTATAGGCTTAGGAAATGCCTTGAAATCCAATTACGAATAAATCCAAAAATATTTTTTTTTGTTTTTTCTGATCAACTTACTGAACTTTTGTTAATCCCCTCGTATATCCATCTTCATCATTTTATGCTGTTGTAAACAAGCGTTATTTTCACAAACCTCTGGTATATAATAGAAGTGCGGTCCCTTATTGAATTAGAAGTCTGATTTTCATTTAAATTCACTTAAATAAAGAAGTTATGTTAATCATTTGATGAATTCATTATCATCTTCCTAATCCACTTATAACAGCTTTAAGTTCCATTTAAGCTCAGTAATTTATAGAAACCATTCCATACATAAATACGTTTAATATCTTCCGTTTGTAATGTACAAAATCAAAAATTATGGCATCAGACATACATACATACATACATACGAGTACATATAGATTCTCCTCTGAATGTAATAAAAAACCTCTTCTCTTTGACTTCACCCTCGCCGCATGTACTTTTCCTCTGTATTTACATTGTTGTTGCTGATTTAGTTGTAGCTTACAAATTATGCTTCACTTTCCGTACATCAAGCACCGAAGTGGGCGTTCCCAGCGGTTTCAACGCCACACAATCGTCATCACTTCTCTGGGGTTTGTTGTGGTGGGCGATGTGGTGAAAATGATATTGTAAGCCGAGGGGGGGGGGGGCGGTTTTCGCCGTTGGCATTCAGGGTTGGGACAAGTGGATGCTGAATTGCTGCTAAATAAATTTTCGGTAACATATTTATGAATGTAATTTGCTTGAATGTCCTTTTTTAGACGAAATTGTCGCCTTTGGTTGGAGTGTGAAAATTAGGTGAGTACGTAAATATTCTCTGTGGTGGCAATAAATATTAATACATAGCACTTAACACTTGTGCATAAGCATATGTATTTACATAATATAAACAGAATACGGAGTAGAAGGTAGCTTGAAAGGAAAGAGAGTTCTCATCATTCCCATGCTCACTGTAAGGTGCAATAGCGTGGTGGATGACGATAACCGGTATAAGTAGTTTTCGAAAAAAATACTTTTCAGTAGAGTTATGGTCCTCTGCGTACGAGCGTTTGGCGTATACTGTGCACGATGAACCTATTGGCTCGCTGACGCGATCTCTCTCATAAAATCCAACACTAAATTTGTGCTCTTTTGTATGACCGTTGGTTGTAGTATATCTCGCATGTGCTTTTTTTCTTTTTGGTTCCGTCCATGGTGATTCTTGAACGGCCATAATGTCACCTTTAACTTCTGCGTGGGCATCAATTAGCGGAAAAGTTAATATTTCTATTTGCGGTCACCACTCCGCAGGGAATATCAAAGCTCCTCATAAAAATCCATTAGCCGTTCGGGGGCGGCTTAGTTTTGTTAGAAAAACTTCAATACGCACAACACGAATTGGTGGAGCATTTCAGCCGAAAGTCGTTTCAGTGGTTAGAAGGCGGCAATTGTATATATATAATGAGATGGCGCCCAATCTTGAAGGAAGAACCCTCCATTTATAAGCCACGTATGGAGATAGTCTCCAGAAATGATATAGATTGGTTAATATTGGCCAGCAACTAGCATGCGGCGAACCATTGAAATGAGTGCAGCGGTTCACTGGCCTCTGCATAACGGGATCGCTTAAAAATATTCCAACGTCTACCACCAGTCGACATTACAGTCGAAGTCATTGCATCAAAATCTGTCGCTAGAATTTTCGGTTTCAAGCCACATTAAAAAAGAGTGGCTGGCCCAGGTATATGCGCCCTACCAGTGGGACTTACAAAAATTGCATGGTCGAAATAGAAATTGTTAATTGTGTGGATGCTTGATTTTGATAGAACTCAGGTAACCATGAGAGCTTCCAGTTTATTGTTGTATTTTGCAGGGAGAGGTCCTCGCAGTACAAAAGATCTGATGGCCACATCAGGTATGAGGAATAAGCCTCCTTTGCTTTGTCTCTCCCCACCTAGAACTCGTCTAAGATTTCTTAGAGCCACTAAGCAGCGATGGACTAGAAAAAGTTTCTAAACTAGTTAAGAAGGCCTTAACTTAATTAAAAATTTTACTTTAACTCGAGTCCAGCACTACAAAAGACCAGCTGGAAACATATAAAGCGTATCAATCGGCGAAGTTCAAAATTTCCAAAATTCATACTTGAAGAACTTTCCAATAAAACTTCGCAGGAATGATGGAGTTAAAAATTTTATCCAGAGGCATAAGCGGTTAGAAATCCAACCAGATCAGTTGTTGTAAGACGACGTAATTGATTTCTGAAATTTTGATTGTTTTTTAATATTAATATCTTCCAAGAGCATGAACTTTAAGCAACCGTTGATTGGTTTCGCACTAGATTTAGCCTCGTGGATAATGAGCATCCTCAGAGACGCCGTACAGTGTGCAGCGAAGATGCTCTTGCTTCTATGAAACAGAGTATCGAAGAAGACCCGAATAAGACCACCCGACAACGGGTCGATCCACTTAATGGAAGATCTTGCGGAAGGATCTTGGTTTACGGGCTTACAAAATCCAGCTCGCGTGAGAATTAAAAACGACCGACCATAAAGCTCAGCGTAAGTTCGGTGATGGACCTAAAATAAGATGGCCACCGGTCCTGACTTTCACAGGAAACTTTAATTCAGCGATTAAGCTCACTTTCCGTTGAATAGGTGCGTTAATAAACAAAATTGCCGCATTTTACGTGATGATAATTCACAAGCCATTGTTAAGACGCCGTTACATTTTCAAAAAGTCACTGTTTGGTGTACTTTACGGGCCGAGGGAATCATTAATCCATATTTCTTCAAAAACGAAGCTAACCATTATGCTACAGTCGATGGCGAGGTCTATAGAACCACGATTAATGGCTTTATTGTGTCTGAATTTGAGGGTGTTGGTGTGGATGGCCTTGGGTTCCAACAAGACATAGCTACACGCCATATAGCCGACGAAACAATCAATTTTTTGAGGTATGGTTTTGGTGAGCGTATTATCTCGAGTCTTGGGCCTCTGGCGTGGACTCCAAGATCGTGCGATTTAATACCGCTGAAGATAAGGTCGAGACGATTGTCGTCTTACATGAAAATATTCATCGCCTTATCGCTGATTATTGCATACGACACCAATTGCTGCAACAAGTGGTTGTGCTGAAGCGATCTTCGGTCGAGTGCCTTCGCCAATTTGTTGTGTTTGTCTTGATTTTTTTTCAAACAAATGAAGAGATCGTCAATTTATTCGAAGCCACATCCGAACGGCCCATGGATTTTAATGAGGAGTATTTTATTTCATTTTGGAAAGACGCTCGGAGGACTTGACATTTCTTGCCAAGGGTCGACCGCAATTAGAAAACTAAATTTTCTATAATTTCGAATGTTGGTAGAACCAGGACTCGAACCCTGGCCAGCCGAATTTTAATACGCAATACTAACCATTCGGCTTGCCAAAATCATGGTTTACACTGACATCAGGAGAGCAGTCCCCTTACGCAGAGCAAACAGTAACTTACACACTTCTTGGAGCAACCGGAATGTAGCCATTTTACCAGTTAGTCGAGGATTCCCGAGCGCATTTCCAAAAATGCTATATTGTGTCCAGCGAACCTTAAATTGCCGGTATTCCTATATCAATGCGTCCCTTCTCGAGGTTGTTTATAAACATCAATTCGACAATTATTTTGTCAAATTACTTATTTTCATTGTCGTCATTTTCTCTGCTTATTGAGTTGAGTTGAGTCCACCAAAGAAACTGAGGAATTTATGTTCCATTTTGTGTGTAAAAAAACCGCAGCCAAGTTGACAGCCACTAACAACGAATTCACGGAGCGGAAATCCGTGGGTGTAACTGGAGCGATTGCAAGCAGCGCCCGCAGCAATCAACACATTTGCCAACAAACCAAAAAAGTAAAAAAAAAAATAAGAAAAAACATATTTGCGACGCCACATACGCCAGGGAAAGTTGTTAACAGTCTGTATGTCTGGTAGGTGGTTTTAGTTCAAATAAAACAAAAACAAAAAACGAAAATCAGCAATAACAACATGCGTATCGTCGTAGTTGCCCAGCGGCAGCAGCCTAGAGCTGAGACAGCAACTTGTGTATTTTTTAAGTGCTTACTAACGGTACAGGAGTCGGTTTTTTATTTTTTCCCATTTTTGCACAGTCACCAAAATGTGTCCAAAATAATGTCCAAAATATACAAAACAAAAAAACAAGAATAAAAATAAAAAATTGGAAGAAATCTTCACCCGCAAAGTGAGCTCTGGTGGCATTTAATGCTGTTGTAATTGTGGGTGGACACCCACTGCGTCGTAAATTGCGTCCGGTGCACGCACACTACCAGCGCATACACACACTAACAACATGCCTACTTTTGCATGTTCGACTCGTTTTTTAGCCACTGCCTAAACGCATACGCATACGGGTACTTGTCTTCTGTCTTTCCTTTCAATATTTAATTTATTTGCGGCTTCATGCAGCCATACATGTGTGTGTGTGTGTGTGTGTAATATTTTGGTGACTTTTCACTTTGGCGTACATTTAGCAATCGCAAATTGCGTATCATAAGCACCGCGGGTGGCATCTCCCCACCCACGACGACTCGCTCATTCTCGTTCATCCTCAGCGAATTCGTTGCGCTCTAATAGTTTTCGCCTGCGCCGCCTCCAATAAACTCGAACTGTAAATTGCTTGAATCGCCGCTATATTCGGCAATAATAACTGTATACAGTATCTGTCCGCCATATTATCAGCACCCCGCATCTTTACTAATTTACTCACAGTGACTTTTTATGGCGTTTTTTTTTTTGTCAACTCAACCTTCCTTACGCATTTCCTTGAAATACTCAATATTCACTCTCCAAAAACAACAACAGCAACGAATCACCTCTCAAAGTAACTATTTTGTTATGTATATACATGAACCTGTACCTGCTTTGGATAATTTGTTCGTTGTAGCGGGTGGCTACCCTCATCACCGACGTACTCGTATTCTCGGCGCTCATCGCTGATGTATCGTTTAAACCGTGATTTATTTGTGACACTTTTGCCACTTTCATTTCATTGTGGTCTGGAGAGTTGTAGATTAGTTTGATCTTATCTCTGCTTACCTGAATCCCTGCCTGACTGTGACCTCGTAAAGTAGAATGCTGCCACATGTGTTGTTGTACACGCATTCCGACTGCGGGATGTCGTCGGATGCCACACACACAGTTAGTTTTGGTACGTGTGATTTTAATCATTATTGTATTTAAACTGCTGATGAAGAGGAAAATAAAGGAAGTGCGTAGGTGTTTGCAAGCAGGAAAAGCGGTTGGTGCAAGAAAATTTATATTTTTAATGAATTATTAATGTAAGTGTGAGACTGATTCTTTGGAGGTGAGTGGTTAGAAACTAGAACTGGTAACATAACTCTAAAGTCCATCTGTAGAGAAGGAGATTAGAAGTGGTAGGTAGTCTTAGCTATCATGCTCCAGCTTGTGGTCTGTGTCGTCAAGGTCTTTCCGCAAATGGAAAATCCTACAAGGCCATGAGTTTCGAGTACTGACCAAACCAGATTTCGAATTATGGTCAACCTCTCCGTGTATGTTTCTGACATAAAATATAAATATCTTCCCACGAAAATCCATCAGACCTTTGGATACCGCTTAGAATAAATTTTAGGTTCCCCCATTTGTTTGCAAAACATCATAATGAACTCAACACGATAGAGGATGAGTCAGAACGAATATCGTTTCAGCTGCTCATGCGAAACCATTTGCATATCCGACATCCGCACAATGGTTTGATGCTTCCTGAATAGGGCGACCGCGTTTGAAAAAAAACGTCGCTGTCTTATATGTCTGGCCTGTGTTTGAACCGCTGACTCTCATTGGGGTTGCTCATACAGATACAGCGGCCCTCCAGATGCATATAAAATAATAAATGCTGAATGCTGAACAAGCAAGCTAGTCGAAAGCATCTCAACAGACTTCTCCTCAAAGCCGATTGACCACCTAGGACTACACACCAGGAAGGGACTATTTGACTACACATACTCCATTGAGCACCATATTTAACAACTAGACAGGGCAGCGTACCGACAGGATTTAAAAGTCTTTCACCGGGAGTTCATTAACACCTTCTTGAACTATCTTTTAGTGAACTCAAAATTTTGTATGGATGGGAGTTCTTGCCAAGCAGTGTATGGTTGGTATAGCTGTCTCAAAAAAATCAAAGCTCCTCATAAAAAACCATCAGCCGTATGGAGACGGCTTAGTATAAATATTAGGTCTAGGTCTCTCCTTTTGTTTGGAACAATTCAAGTCTCATACCACAAATTGAAGGAGGAGGGCCAATTATGTATATGTACATACAATAAAGTCGCTTCTAAAATCCTGTCGGATCTTTATATGCACATATATGTATGTATAGTGGCTCAATAAAGAACTAGGACATACATTCCACTGTTATTAACACGCAGCTTAAAGCTTGATATTAAGCATTTTTGTTTTTTATATTGCTATAGAGAAGTCGGACATCTGATAATATTACAGGTCTATGGCACTTTAAAAAGGATAATCCCACACTTAGTTTGTTTTCGTTTAAAAATAGCTTAGAATAAAATTTCAGTACTTTTTTTTTTGGAAAAAAAGGTGAAAAGTTCAAACATGGTTAAACAGCGTGGACAAAGCTCAATTGAAGTAAGGAAGTTAATTATTAGTCATGGGAAAAACCATTCGGGAAATCGCAGAGCAGACCCTGCTCGACTGTGCATGACGTGATTAAACAAAAGAAGTCTGGACTACCGAAGTTGTTTTCGGCTGCAGATGAAAAAAATCCAAACATGAGCGCTCCCAAGCTCTCAACAGAAGTTTCGCAACATCTCAATATAAATTTAATCCGGAGAGTATCCGAATAGATTTACGAAAAAATAGTTATAATAGAAGCGTAGAATGGAAAAAAACCATTTATAAACGAGGTTAACCGAAACAAAAGGATAAAATTTGCAAAATGTCATGGGGATAGGGATTTTCAATTCTGGAAGCAAGTTTTATTTGCAGATGAAAGCAATTTTAATATATTTAGGTCAGATGGACAGTCGTATGTTTGGAGAAAACCGAATGAAGAGTTGCTAGGAAAGAATTTACGTCCGACTGTTAAACACTCGGGCGGCTCAGTAATGGTATGGGGTTGCATGTCCGCAGCAGGTACTGGAAATTTGTGTTTCATAAATGGTGTTATGGACCACAAGCAATATCTGACCATTTTAAAAGAAAATTTAGTGTAAAGTGCGGAAAAGTTGGGAATCCCAAGCATAAAGCACTTGATGTCCGTCTATGGTTGATGTATAACTGTCCTAAAGTGCTTGAAACACCTCCTCAGTCTCCCGACATTAACGTAATTGAACATTTATGGGCTCATTTGGAAAATAAACTGAAAATGTATGTAATTAGAAATAAGAAAGACATAGAAGCCGCTATTTTGGAAGAGTGGGGAAAAGTAAATTCTTTAACGTGCAAGAAGCTAGTTGAACCTCTGCCAAGAAGACTGAATGCTATTAGAAATAGTAAAAGCTTGCCGACCAAATAATAAGAATATTTTGTTTCTCTTAAAATAATATTTTTAAATTCTATGTTATGTATATATGTATGTATGTCCGAGTTCTTTTTTGTTATCAGTTTTGTTAAGTTGTTATGTTCATATTGTCGCGTACTGGCCGCAACAAAAAAACTTCTTTTATGTGTGTCTGTTAATTTCCTTTGTTTTGCCTAAGCTTCCTTTCACTCCAAGCGTTGGCAGTGATATCTGTCGGCAAATAGTTGCATTATTTGAAGCCATGGATTGATGGCACGGTTGCATTCGGTGTGTGCCTACCCAGTGGTATAAGTCTNGGTAGGCGTTTGACCAACAGCCACTGTAGGTATACATATGTATGTACGTATGTACACACGCACATACATATTGTAATTACAAAAAGTGGAGGTGACAATATTATTTTTATACGACCGAGTTGAATTTAGTTTATGGTTTTGGTTGTTTTGAAAAATACATTTGAAGAATAGAAATCAATGTTAAACAGAAAGCACTCGATTTGCATTTTATTATATATTTTTTTGTTTGAAGTCATATAACTTGGGTGTCCGAGTTCATTTTTGAGCCATTGTACATACATATGTATGTAGGCTTGTCACACCCGCAACAGCCGACAAGCGTACGTACATTTTGGGTGGCTTTGCCTTTAATTTATCAAATTGGTTGAAAGCAACCTGCATCACCTAAAATTATATTTTTTAGTGAATAATAAAAGTAATTTATTTATCATAATTTATGTACATGTGTGCAGAAATGTTTCATAGTTAGGAAATAATTAAAAATATTGTGAGATATTGGTTTTGACACTTAAATACTGTGCAATATTATTGAGCAATAATTGCTTCAGTGAAGTTTGACGTTTACCAGCACCTCAGCAGTGCTGCCAACAAAACTTAAAATTTTCAAAGAAGCAACACTTGCCTTAGGGGGGAAACAGGGGAAAATAAATAAAAGGATTGGAAGCAGTGAACAAAACAAAACAACAAAGGTATACAAAAAATTCTACGTAAATGTCAAACAGCTGAAAGCAACAGGAAACAATAACAACAAAAACAAAAAAGCGTTCAACAATTGTGGGTGCAGCAAAGTCATAATTTTTCGTTTGAATTCCTCCATAAAGATTTCAAGTGAACTCTAAATTTTGTAGTGTTTAGTAAATAAGTAAATATAAAAATTCTAAAATTCCTAATGATCTATAAAATATTATAAATATAACAATTTGCAACAAAAAGTTACTTATTTTATACCGAAAAGCTTGAAAAGCGTGAACATATTGAATGGCATAAGAAGCAAGCAATCTTGCATGATGAGAATATCGAGCATAACTTTGTGAAGAAGAGCTTAAGCCAAAATGAGCTGAAACAAAATTAAGTAGTAAAATAATAAGAATACGTGAAGCGAAGACAACTAGAGTATTGAGTGCTCGCAGCGGTAGTAACGGAGGTGGCAGCGTCTTCACTAGCAACTTAGCTGATAAAAAATATTACAAACCATTAATGTTGTTGTGTTACGAGTTGATGGTGACGGTGAATGGTCGTCAGCTACGTCGTCAGTCTCTGTCTGCATTGCTCAACCTTTGCGCTAGTACGTTTTGGCCACATCACGGAGACGGTCGGAAAACGGCGGCTCGTTACGATCAAAGCAAATACGCTTGTAGCGGTAAAACTGGATTTTGGTTTTCTACAAAATTGTGCCATAGCGAAAGAAGTACAAACTAAACACCGATCAGCAAGCAAACTAGCCAAGCAACTAATGTATTAAAAATTAGCATAAAATTCCATTACGATTTGGTCAAGAATTAAAGGCGAAAGTCGGTGAGGTTTTTGTGATAGCTGCGGTGGAAGTGCTACACTTGTGTGTTGAGTAATTTAAATGGGAACAAATTATTTTCTATCAGCACAATTTGCCACGGTGTACTAGTCCACGGTTATGTGTACAACGTCGCCGGCGTACACAATTCCCCGTTCCTTTAAGTTGATAAATAGTGATAAAAAACCACCCACAACTCGTCAACATTGTACACTTAACCTCGCACTTAGCTAGCCTTTAACAAACACCAAACTACAACAACTAAACATGTTGCGTTCTTTACGTTCCTTTTACGGCAAAATTATAATTTTTGCATTGGTAGCGTTCTGCTTTATACTTTACATTAAAGTGCTGCAGGTGGAGGACACAATTCGAGAGACACAAGATCAAAATGAGAAATTAAAAAAGGAAGTGCATGAATATAGCGATGTACTACCAAAAGAACAACAAGCTGTACACAAAGGACGCATTAATCCTCGTCATCGTGTAATTGAACGCCCAGAAGATAATGAAATTTTAAAGAAACCAAAACAAACTACACTTACAACAGAATCGGCGTATGAGTTAAGTATACGTTTGGATTTGGAAAAGCAAAATCCCGCATTAGGAGCACTTGGTACGGCTTCACATTTGACTGGTGAAGCTGCGCGGCGTGGTGATGAAATCTACAAAAAAATATCATTGAATCAAGAACTCAGCGAAAGGTTATCATATAATCGCACCTTGGCTGATTCCCGGCATCCAGCGTGTTTAAAACAGAATTTTAATATACCAACACTACCGAGCACTAGTGTCATTGTCATATTCTACAATGAACCATATTCAGTGCTTGTCCGTACAGTGCATAGTACATTGAATACATGTAATGAGAAGTTATTGAAGGAAATCATTTTGGTTGATGATGGTAGCTCAAATGAGGAGCTACATGGCAAATTGGATTATTACATCAGTACGAGAATACCTAATGGCAAGGTGAAAGTGTTGCGTTTGAAGAATCGGTAAGTGTTCAAACCCACATTGTTAAGTTGTCTTTAATTGTATATTCTCCCGTTTTCAAATATGTGTATAATTTACGATTGAAAATATTTGTGCATGTAGAAAACTAATGCAATAGAAGCAGTGCTCAAAATTTTCGACAATGATACTGCATAAGACTGCGTCATGAGTAACGAGGCATGAAGGTGGAATGTCGATTTGTTGTCTTGCTGAAACAATAACAGCTGAACACCAAATATTTCACTTCGAAACTTGACTATTATGACTTCCTTGTTTACAGATTTTAATCAAAGGTACTTATGTACACATGTATTAACGCCACCGCAGTCATAGATTTGGCGAATCTTTTACCATAAAATGATGCCAAAATTAGCAGAAAGGCTCTGCTAGGCTGGCGTTAATGCACAAGTACCATTTCGAATTTTTTAACATCGAAATATGTGTGAAATGTGTTTGGTAACTTAAATTAAAATTATTTTCACCATTCGTTGGGATAGCGCGTGTGTTCGAAGCTTCCAGTGTGAGGTGGGTTGTTCTATGCAAACTTCGCAGCTTCAAGTTTTTAGAAGTTGATGGAAATGAAAATAAAAGAATTATAATAAAATTTTGTGGTTAGAAAAGCAATAGCAACAATCAACTTCAGCCAACAAAAGATTTATGTACAAAACAACTCCAACATTGGCATGACATTTTAAGAAACTTCATGACGCCATAAAAAAATTAGTAGTGTCATCTTCATAAAATACCGTAGTGTCATCTACGGAAAGGTCAATAAGCCAGAGTTCATCCAACGTTTGGCCTAAATGCCACTTGTCAATGCGATCACACGAACAAAATGCTTGCTTACCATTTTATAATGGAAACTTGCTCTGCTGCTGTTGTATACATTTAAATTTATATACTATATTGTATATATTTACTTCTATATTTGTATATATTTAGTTATAAACATATAATTTGTTGCAGCATCTTCAGCCGAATTTAGACTCATCAATTGGTGATCATTTCAACATTCGAACTCACAAATTTGTTAAAGGTGCGCTGAGTTCGTTTCGATTTAGCCGCCAATCATGGCTTACTGGTAGTTTTCTCGCCAGCTTTTCTATTTACATCTACTTCTCAACATACAAATATACATTTTAACCTACTATACATATTTACGTATGTATATATATTTGTGTTGCTGTTGTAACGGCTATATTTATTTGTAGTTTAGTTTGGTTTCGTGGCTGGCTTGTTGTTAGCTCTTGGTTTAAATATATTATTTCTTCGTTATTATTTTGTTTTATCTGTCGTTGTGGATGTTCGCTTTGAATTTGAATACTTGATGCTGCGGAGGCTGATACAAAGTTGCTGTTGGTAGTATCATTTGTTTTGCTTTCTAAACGTCATTGCACGCAACGGCGACTACGTTGCACATGTTGGCACATCGACAGACTTACATACATATATACGTACATACGTATATATAATACAAACGCACTTATCTCATGTTCTGATTTTATTATTAGAACAGTTGTTTAGTTTTTTTTTTTTCCATATACCTCTTATGAATAAGAAATTCTGCTAAATAATGAGTTGATGTTGGTGAATACCGATAGGAGAAGACAAAATTTTATAAAAATATTTATCAAAATGATTGGACGCTTCCGCTTAAGAGTAGGTAAATTTGGTAGATGTCGTAGAGTTCATTCAACGGGAGGCCCAATAAATATTAAATTGTATATTAACTTTGATCGTAAGTATGTAAGCACCGGAAAGAGACGAGAGAAACCTACCAAATTTTATACCGATCGAATCAGTCGGTCTGTTCGTCTATTTAGTTGTATTGCAAACAAACTTGGTACACTGGCAAACATATATCGATTTTTTTTTATCTAAACTTCATCAAAAAAAGTATCTAAGAACATCAAATTTGGTATTCTTCATTCATATCTACAAACAAACATCGTCCCCGAAAATCAGAGGAATCGGAGGACTAGATGATATAGCTCCCATAAAACCGTTTTGTTCGGATATGAGGTTTTTGGTCAGCAATCTGTTAAAAATGCATCTAAGAGTATGAAACCTATTCTACATTCGTATTTAGAAATAAACATCGTCCCATCATAAAAGCAGGAAAACTTCAACGTATGGCTTGCTTCACCAATTTTTACGATATTGGAATTAATATATGTCTAATCCTGAAAAAATAAATAAAACAATTCGATATGGTCACGAAAAGTATAAAGACTCCGGCTGAGCAGAAGGCAACTTTTCTTTCTTGCTTTCTAAAACATTTAGCAGCTGTTGTAATGAGCAAATTTTCTAATATCGGCTAATGAACAAAACAACAGTCCGAAACTAAGCATATTTGTTATATAATATAATATATGATTAGCACTTTGTAACCGCTGAAGCGATTTTCGCCCAAGCTCCTCCTCCATTCGGTGGTTTTGCGTCTTAATGTTTCTTCCAACAAAAGCTTTTTGTTATAGTTTCTCCAATTAGGCCACTATGATCTCGTCGTTTTGAATACTCTTCATGTTTGTATGTAAGTTAGACATTGAATGATGACCAATGATAAAAATCTAATATCCAAAAATTATCGCTTAAATTCTAGGAATTGTACAAAAACCCGAATTTGACTTGTAGCTCCCTCGATTAAGTAATTAAGCACTTGCGATCTAGTATTCTAATTTGATTAAGTATAAGTTAAATATCACACATAAATAAGTAAGAATAAAAAACAAAACACTACTAAAATTGAATTGGACTCCGCTCGCGAAAGGCCTAAAGGTTTCAGTCCAGCTCCTTTGCTTTTTTTTTGTTTTAATTCGAATAACTCGCTAATGGTCCACTGCATTGAAATACAATTCGTAACTTGTAATAAATAAAATGATACAATGCTATGAGATTTGACGCATTTACGGTCCACTTTTCAACGCTAGTCAGTCGACCCATTTCTTCTCTTACATACATACATTTAAACATATTTATATTTGCTATAATTAGTTACTAACTATGTCTTTTTTTTTGCTTACTCTCATCCTCTTTCGCCATCTAGCCTCGGTTTGATACGTGCCCGTTTGGCCGGTGCTCGTATTGCCACCGGCGATGTATTAATCTTTCTTGACGCCCATTGTGAGGCGAATATCGGTTGGTGTGAGCCGCTCTTGCAACGCATTAAAGAATCACGTACCAGCGTGTTGGTGCCTATTATTGATGTCATCGATTCGAAAGATTTCCAATACAGCACAAATGGTTATAAATCGTTTCAGGTTGGTGGTTTCGAATGGTCTGGCCACTTCGATTGGATTGAGGTGTCGGATCGTGAGAAGAAGCGACAATTGCGCGAATGCGATCAACCACGTCAAATATGCCCTGCTTACAGTCCGACAATGGCGGGCGGTTTATTCGCGATCGATCGGCATTACTTTTGGGAGAGTGGCAGTTATGATGAGCAGGTGCGTTTGGTTGGATTTTGATAGAAAATGCATACAATAATGATAGTGTATTTATAATGTATTTAAAAAATTTCTTATGAATTTAATTTATAAATATTTAGTTTGAGCGCTTCGAGCTCATAAATTTAATGCTGAATTTTGTAATTCTAATTTTTAATTACTTATTCTAGATGGACGGCTGGGGTGGTGAGAATCTCGAGATGTCGTTCAGGATTTGGCAATGCGGTGGCACAATCGAGACGATACCTTGTTCGCGTGTGGGACATGTCTTCCGTGATTTTCATCCATACGAGTAAGTAAAATTGTGAATAAGGCATTTTTTTTTTTAATTTTCTTAAGGAATTGAAAATCGGGAATTGAAACTAATTTCTTTTTTGTTGCAAAGTAATTTCATATAAATATTTCTTTTAATATTTTTATTTTTTTTATCTTATCGCACTTTTTAATTACTTGTAGAGCACTATTAACCACAAAGAAAAAATAATATTTATTAAAAATATGCATTTTTCATGTAAACAGTTTTAGAACTTACAAAAAATTCTGAGTATAAAATCAAAATAAAAATAAGTCGACAGATAAGGACAAATTTATCAAACCAAACCACAACACTCTTAAATTAATATAATTATTTAAATTAGTAAATATCAAAATTATATTTAAAGCAACTTTGAAATTTTGAATTCACCACCCATACATTAAAGTTATCATGACCCCCTGCGGGTTAGGGGCTCAAGAATTTACCCACGGTAAGGCATGCCTGTCGTAAGAGGCGACTGAAATCCAATAGTTCCCGCGATAGTCGGGTCTTTATACCGGAACGATCCGGATTTTTATCCGACCAAGGACTGTCACTCCCGCAACATTCCCCAAAAAGTACTTTGGGGAATAATTTTGCGGTTACAACAACAACAACGAAGTTTTCATGCACTTTTAATGACATAGTTCCCTTTGTTTTGTAATTTCAAATTAGCCCCGCCGTGAGTTAGCCTTTTCCTCCCACTATATTGAAATTTGTTTCTTTACATATTCTATGAAGGCAAATTTATATCAGCAAGAATATTTTTGTTAAAAAACTATCATGTGGCAAAGCAAAGACACTTGTTTAAATATAAACAATTTATTCATTTTTGTTGTCGAGCTTATAGCTTTAGAGCCCTCTTAGTTGTCATATGTCAGACCCACTTTTATGTAAATATAAACAATATTATCGTTAATAAAATTGTAATGGAAAACGTCTCAGTGCCAATGCCATGCTTGTACATATATATATTGTAGTCTATTTGCCCTTGCCAAACTACCTTGTAGGGCAATTTTAAAACACCTCGATGAATTATTTAGTTTTAGATTAAGGAAATCTTCTGTCATTCTATATACATTTGCTGTAGGCCCTTGTTGTATATTTTTCATATCAACAAAGAAAATCTCTACAAAGACGTACAAACGACGTAGATAATATTTACAGATGTATGTATGTACATATCCACACAGAATTTTTTAACGAAGTTTATTAAACTTTCTGCCTTTTGTTGGCCTGTTGGCGTATGGCATGACCAAAAAAAAACATTTCTTTACAATTTCTTTTCCTCATCAATTGTACAATATTTGTTGAATTTTTTTTTTTTTTTGACAATTTTAAACAGCTGTAGTTGTTTGAACAAGTGCTGACATTACATTCATAAAAGCTTTTTAAACATTTTAATTGCATAAAAACACTAAATATAGGTTTTTTTTTACTGTGAAAAGTGAACTTTCGCTGAGGTCAATTTTATTCCTTCGCTTCCGCATTTTGCCTTATTCATTTAAATTTTTTTTTGTAATAAAAAAAATTAAAATAAATATTTATAAAATTTGAAAATTTTTTAAGTATTGCTAGAGCATAATTTATTAAAAAAAAACAAGATTAAATAATTTTAATTTCTTTTTCGCTCTCCAGATAATGTAATTATAAAAAAATTTGCAAAAATGTAAGAAAAGAGGTTAGGTGTAGTCAGTGACATACAAAAATATAGATAAACATTTTTCTTACAGTCATTTTTTTTAAAAAAATTTGTAATAATATAGCATCGTTACATTGTTTATTGACTTGAGTTTATGGAAATTATAAAACAAAGAACAGGAAAGAAGTTAAATTTATATTCTCATAATTGAAAATCTGATTGGAACAGGCTATATGATATATTTTGGTGATTTTGATAAATTTCGGTGTTAATGTTTATTTTTTGTTGTTGTTGTAACCGTAAAAATATATACGCCAAAATAGTTTTTGGGGAATGCTGCGTATAAAAAACCGCGATGTTCCGGTATAAAGACCCGACTGTCGCGGGAACTATTGGATTTTAGTCGCCTCATACGACAGGCATGCCTTACCGCTGGTAAATTCTTGAACGCCTAACCCGCAGAGGGTAATGTTTATTTGTATATATGTACATACGTTGGTATTCTTCACCTAATTTCATGCATTTAAATTCTTTTTGCCGTTTTTTTTTTACCAAAAACCTCATATCCGAGCATATCGAATGAAAGGGAGCGATATGATACTGTCCTCCGATTTCGATGATTTTCAGTAAATTCGTATGTAAGAAATATAAAATTTCATAACATCGGATGCATTTTTGCCGAAATTTTTTTTTTACCAAAAATCCATATACAACCGTTATGTTGGTTGTGGGGGGCTATACGGTCTAATCCTTCGATTTCGATGATTTTCGATGACAATGTTTATTTGTTATATTTGTGTAGAATACAAAACCTCGCGCTTCTAGACGCTCTTTTGAATGTACCAAGTTTGTTTGAAATATCGCAAAGACAAGAGTGCGTGCAAGCAGACGGACGTGGCTTAATCTACTTAACTCGTCATTCCGATTCGATCCGTATAAATTTTGGTGGGTCTTTTCCACCTTCTGGTATTTACATACTTCGGACTGACGTATAAAAGCTAATAATTCTCGAACTAGTGGCATAATTTAGGCACCATAACATTACGTTTGGTTCATCCCACAGCGCCAGTTCTGCTTATGGCCATCACTAATCCTTGGAGATTTATCTTAACCCGTTCATCTCGCTAAATGCTGTTTTCTGTTTCTCTCAATTGGACTTATGTTTTAGAAAAATAAGTTCTTTCTTTCTATGTACAAAAAATAGAAACTTATATACTTTCTTAACCCTTTATGTGCCATCTTGTAGAAGAACAACATATTTTAAAAAATAATACATAAAATTACATTTCAAAGCAATTAACATCGTTTTCCTCATTTTCTCATATATAGATTTCCCAACGATCGCGACACTCATGGCATTAACACCGCACGCATGGCACTCGTCTGGATGGACGATTATGTGAATCTCTTCTTCCTCAATCGACCGGACATGAAATTCCATCCGGATATTGGTGATATGACCCACCGCAAGTTGCTGCGCAAGAAATTGCGTTGCAAAAGTTTCGATTGGTATTTGGAAAATATTTATCCGGAAAAATTCGTACCCAATAAAAATGTAATCGCATACGGACGTGTCCGGGCATTGAGTAAAGATCTATGTCTCGATGATTTAACACAAAACAATGAGAAACCCTATAATTTGGGCATATTCTGGTGTGCCAAAACGTTGAGCAAATCACAATTCTTTTCGCTAACCAATACACAAGTGCTGCGCAATGAATTGAGTTGTGCAACTGTGCCGCACGGCGATGGTGGGGATGTGCGTGTGGTGAAAATGGTACCGTGTATGGATAATGATGACTACAATGAACAGTGGAGCTATGAGGAGGAGCATATTATACACTTGAATACCGGTTTGTGTTTGGATCATAAGGAATTGCGTAGTTCCGATGAGATACAAGTGGCGCGCTGTGATAGTGACAGTGAGACGCAACGCTGGATAATACAGCATGACAAAACGCTGTGAAAGTGAGCGTACAGTTGTAGAGTGTTAAGTTTAAAGTCAAAGCCATTGTGTAAATAAATATTGAAAAAAAAAAAATGAAACGCACTATACATATACAATCACTTATGGGTATTTTATAAAAAAAAAAAATAGTGAGTGATGTGCGCCGATGTTTTTTTTTAACAGCTGATTATTTTGTAATATACTGAGTTAGGAGCTGGTTTAGCATATTTTGATATAAGCATTTAACTTTTATTAAAAATAAACCACTACGTAAAATAAATATTGACAGTGTATGTAAAGTTTCTATAAAATATTAACTAAATTGCGGTATAGTATACATATATTTGTAATTTTGTAGTAAACAAAACATGCATTCCATGCAAGAAAATATATTTGTAAACACTCACTTGTAGTTAGCTAATATATATATATATATATTATTTTATTTGATTATTTGTTTATTTAAAAGTATAACTGAAATTGCAAAGTAAACGCTTAATTGAATGTATTTATTGAAATTTTTGTTTTCAAATTTTTTTGTAATACTTTTTGTAACTTTTTTTTTATCAAACTATACTCATTGCACTTCATACATAAATACATATTTAAAAAGTTACTAAACTCAAACTCAAACAACGTACATGACAATAAAACATTCAATTATGACTGCAAAAATATAAATATACATACATACAAACATATATGATTATATCTACACTATATTAACTCTCTCACTCGTTGACTCTCTACATACATACATATGTGCTTAAATTCCTTAGAATTGTGAATTTGTTAATTATTATATATGCACACATAAATATGTGCTTTTATTTCGATTTACCTCCATAGATTAAATACTAATTAAAAATTTATTGAAAAAAAAAATGCTTAGGTTTTAGTTATAATTTTAGTTAAATGTTTATATGTAATATATAATAGCTATCAACAACTATGTGTAGCGCTGTGCCCGTCCTCTCGTTTATTTTTATATATTTTTCTAAACAATTTATGTAAATGGAAAGAATATTAAGAGCAATTTTTCGTTATCAAAAAGTAGGTATATTTTTTTAAGAAAGAAAAATTATTTTATTTGAAATTAAAAAAAAATTATTTCGAGTAAAATTGTTATTGTTTTTTTATTAGTGAAGTGGGAATAAAAAATTGTCTAAATATTGTAATTAAACGAACATCTTTTCACTAAGTAGCTTATATAAAAAAATATAAAATTATAAAAAAAATATTTTATTTTTAAATAATCTGCTCTCTTTGCCTTATTTCAATTGTTTCAGTTAAAAATTTGCAGTTTTTGTCCAATTTATGTGCTTGTGCTAGAAAAAAATATCTTTTATTAATACAATTTTTAGGTGAATAAATTTTTCAAAATTATAAAATCTTTTTTTTTGAATTAATTTCAACTTATAACTTATGAAAAAGTTATTTAAATGGTTTTAGTAAAAATTTGGTATTTTCGGCAAATTCATACGTTGCTTTATTGAAAAAAAAAATTTGCTTGTGCTGAAAAAAATATCTTTTATTAAGGCAATTTTACTGTAACTTTTTTCAAAATTGTATTTATTTAATTTTTTAACGAATTGTAATTTATAGCTTATATTTTTATGAGCTATTTAATTTGCTTAAGTAAAAAAATTGTATTTTCTGTATATTAATACGTTGCTTTATTGAAAAAAAATTGCTTGTGCTGAAAGAAATATCTTTTATTAAAACAATTTTAATGTAAATTTTTTTTATTTTTTTTAAATTCAAATTCAAAGCTTATTAAAAAGCGCTTAAATTTGCTTGAGTTAAAAAAATTGTATTTTCGGTATTTTCATAAGTTACTTTTTTGACTAAAAATTGCTTTGGCCGAAAAAAATGTTAAGAAAAATCTCGTGTAATTTGCTCTCTTTTCTAAGTTATGAATATTTTATTTTATAAAATTAATTTTATTGCATTTTAATTTTTTAACATTATAATCATTATATTTTTTTTAAACTAATTTAAATTTATAGCTTATAAAAGAGTTTAAATATATTTTATATATAGTTTTGGGAACAAAAAATTGCTTTTGCTGAAAAACTGTCTTTAAATTAAGAATATTTTGATGCATTTTTGTTTTTCAAAATATTTTTATTTTAATTTTTACTTTATTTCTATGTGAAAAATCGTATATAAAAAAATACTTCTTTCAACCAGTGACTCTAGAGAACGTACATAGAGTTTCAGTTTATAATAATAATAATAATTATTATTTTTTTTTTAACTTAATTGACTTAAAATGTTATATTTTTAATTTTTTTATTTTGGTCATTGTACATCTAACTATACATAACATAAATATTCCTATATAACATAATCAAAAATTTTATACGCACTATTTTATATGTACCTACTCGTATATGCAGATACGAGTATGCTAATTATATGACGTAAATAAATAATTAAAAAAATATATAAAAAATTAAAATAAAAAAAAACATTTAAATGTCAAAACACAATTTTTACAATTATAAAAAATGCCTATATCACAAATAAACTAGTGAAACATTTATACAGGCAACAAACTTTATACAATAATAATAAATTAATATATTTTTATATACAACTGAAAAGTAACAAATAAATATTGTAAAAATAAATGAAAAAAAAAATATTATAAAAAAATTTAATATATATTTTACAGTCACTGAAAAGGAAATCATAGCCTTTAGGCGGCAAATAACATGAATATATAATGTGTATAGATATTTTATAAAAAAAAATTTATATTTATTGCAATGAAAAGAAATTTCCCGTAAAAATGTATTTTTCCGCAAACCAATTGATGGCTGAAAGAAATATACATTTACACACACATGTATAATATATGCACAAAAACCGTTGTAGAATTCGTACAATGCATTTAGTTTCTATCAAAGAAAACTTAAAAAATACTTATAAAAATATTTACTAAAAAAAATGTTTTCCATACAAAACAATTTCCTTTTGGCATAACACTTATGACAGATATTATGGCATTTATCCATCTAAATATATATACAAATATATACTTTAAAACAAATGTATAATTTTTTTATACATAGTTATATACTCAATAATACAATATATGTACATACATACATACAAACCGAAATCATACTCACCAAAAGCAAAAGCAGTGCTATAAAAGCGCCATAATGCAGAGTTGGAAAATGTTATAAATCAAACTGCATACGTGTATGTGGTTAGCTGGCGTATTATACTTACATACATACATATATACAAAAATTAAAAAAAAAAAACTTTACAAACCGAGAACTTTGAAAGTCAATTGCTATTTTTCATAGAAACAAACTAAATCGTAGTATAAATATTGTATAAACTGAGCCGATCAATGGAAAAAATTTTAATTTCCTCATAAAAAATTGATCAATACTAGAGCAGACTACAAAAATTAAACCGCATGACAACAACAACAAAAAACTTTAAAATTTTGTAAAACATTATGTAATAAAATTAAACAAATAAAGAGAAAATAATAAATAATAATAACATTTAGTGTTCTTGTTTCAAGCTCATCAGGGCAATGATGCCCTCGGGTTGGTAACTTTGAGGCCGCACTTCCACATTAGATTAGTTTTGGTTTAATACACTATGAACGGCTATGAATGGCTGGCAAATTAACTTCTTCTTCTAGCGAAGGGCTGTTAATGATGTTGTTGTGGGTTCCGCAAAAAATAGTCAAAGCACTGTTTAAGGAATGTTTAGGAAGTAACAGTACTTGGCCGTATAAAAATCCACATCGTTCTGGTATGAAAACCCGACTGTTGCGGGAATTTTTGGATTATAGTCGCCTTTCAACCCTCAACCTGTAGGGGCATGTTGTAGCTAACCCCGCTGAGGAGCAGGTGAGACTATTTTGAGTCATCGAGGTCATCTAAGCAGAGTACAGTTTACATGCAGAGAGGTGGTTATTATTGGGCGGAGTCTCCTTGCATGTAGGGCATACGTTGGGTATGTCGGGGTCAAGTCGGAATAAGTACAAATTATGTTTATTACAGTAGTCAAATCTTAATTGCCTCAGTATTACTTTGGTCTCTCGAGGCAGCTTGAATTGTAGGTCTGCAATAGGTGGCGTTTCTGGATTTCGCGTACGCCATTCATGGGAAGACAGTTTAGTAATGTCTTGACGGACGCTCGGTGAATGACGTTTAAAGACTGCCGGTACGCGGTCCTGTCCAGTGGTTAGTGTTTGGACTGAAGGGCCAAACAGTTCTTGTATACGATACTGAAAAGGCTTATACGCTATGTGTGAACAATTACCCTATTATAACCGCCAAAGAAATTTTCGGTCGAAATCCTGCTACAATTTATGAGGTGTGACAATTAAGTAATGAGACTGATTATATTGCCGCGATTGTTGTAACTCTGCGACCTTGAAATCCCCTTTCCCTCTTCCCGGCATCTTTCTCCTTTCTACTAATATATTCGCCATCGCTTTAGCTTGTTTAATTCGTCTGCTGTACCGTGTTGAGTACACGTATGTTCGTGGTGCTCATCACGAAAATGGAAAAACGATATCAAGAGCAATGCGTCGCGATAAAAGCTTCGGAAACGTACCCTAAAATTATAAAGGTGTTTCGATGACATAAAGAGTTTAAAAAGGGGCTCGAACGCTTGTAAGACGAGGCGCGGAGTGGGAGACCACCTCGCCTCGTGTGCGAACACTAATCCGTAAAGATCCGTAAAGATCGAACAACAGTTCGAATGTTGCCAAGTACTCGAAAACTTGCTAAAACGAGTAAACAGGGTGTGCCCAGACATCGCTTGAAACCGGATCCATCATCACGACAACGGGCCGTGCCACACACTTTTTTCATCTCATACACCAATCACTGCCCGATATTGGTGTGAACCAGGTTATTAATAATTTATGTTCACAAGTAGACTATAACTACAACTACAGGACCATCAAATTCCGGCCCTAAAAAATCATTAATTATCTCTACATAGCGCAATCGTATTCATTTTCAAAAATGTATGGTCCAATGACCCCGCCGGAAATAAAATAAACCGCAAAAATTAATTAAACGTTGAAGGTGGGG